GAGGATAAGATAGCTTCCGTAACATAGTCAGGCAGACAAAAAAAAAACAAAGAGACAGTATGCAAGCAATATACGTACTAACTTACTAGTCCAAAAGCATGACAAGTCCAAGTCCGCATCGGTCGGCCCCCCTCCTCCTCCTTCAGCTCACGTCAGCGAGAAAACGCTGGCCCAATGTTGACCCTCGTTCTGCCTTTAATGCGATGGCTTTCTCGTTTTGCTTTGGTCCGATAAAACCTTTGCTTTCTTGTTTTTCTGTGCTGCTTCGGCCATGACTATAACATTTGGCTCGCACGTCCGATTTTAAGGAAGTGGGGGTGGTGGTGGAAGTGACGTATATGCCGTCAAGCAGTTGAATTTTGTAGTTCTCTTTGTTCGCCGGTTACTACCCGAAACCGGAAGTTTGAAAGTTCGATTAAAAACGCTACAGACCCCGTCAGGCTATAGCAGACGTGTCATTCAACCTATTGTAAGTCGATGTACCATCACATGAAGGTTGAAAAGTCCCTGGTGTTACTTTAAAATGTTACAATATGCCCCTTGAGGCATGGCATCACATTTCAACATTTATTTCAGGTTATATCATGAAAAAATATACACTGTATTAATAAAACAAAACCACATAATTGTTTTAGACATGATGTGGGAAAAATCAATAGTCTAAATAGATTTGCTGAAACTGAGAAAGTGTTGCGTTGTGCCCCGCTCTCCTCAATGTGAGATTCAGCACATTCTTTCTGTTGTGTGACTGTGTGGAATTTCTTTGAATTGGCTTTATGCACAGCTGCACTACTTCCTGAACTTAAGCCAGCTCCTTGTTTCATGTCTGCCATTATTGGACACATTGATTAATCCAGGTGTGCTTGACCTCAGTCGTCACGGGAACAATAATCAGACACACCTGAATTAATCAAGTTCGGCCAATAATTGTAGACAGGAAACAAGGAGCTGGCTTAAGTTCAGGAAGTAGTGCAGCTGTGCATAATGTCAATAGACCCCTTTACAGTTGGTAAACATGGTGACGTTTTTTGTGGGCGGAGCTTAGGTGGAGGCAGAAAGATCCCTCTGGCGCTAGTTAGCAAGGATTGTTAGCTTGTTTTTTAACAATCACTGGAGAAAATCCGATATTATCTTAATGTGTAAGGTCACTCAGTGTCCAGGACCGCGATTGTTATTTCCAAAAGTTATTTTTAACGGACGGAACCAGATTGGCCGACCTGTAGCCGCCTACACGCTCACTCATGGACAATCTGACAGGATTAACGTACGTTACCTCGGTTGAGTGGCCTGACTTCTACACCTACCTTATAGAGAAACCGATCGTAAATAGAAACTGAGGGCTTATAAATCTTTAAATGCCTAAATGGTCCTGTACAAGACTTGTGTGTACGATCCGCAGTTCTGCTGAGCCAGCGCCGAGACCACGACAATGTAAAGAGTGACATTACGGTGCGATTTAAATGATGTGAATATTTTCTAGAAATAAAAGTTCCAGATACAGCATATTCATTTTTCATCAATTCTTGCACCAAACAACACAACAAGTAACAATAATTTAATTTAAGCTCCTTATTATGTAACCGAATCTGTGCTGGTTTGTATTGGCCGCCTCCAGTTTACACTTTGTTTTGCCTCCAGCTAGCGCCGTGACGTAACCGTGACGTCGGCGCAAAAGGGGTCTATTGCCATGAATTTAATACCACTTCCTGTCATTCCAATTCAAATTCAACTCCCTGTGAGGTGGAGTTAGTTCAGTTCAAATTCCATTTCATGAATTGAATGGAGGCCAATTCTGAAATTCTGAATCTTGCACAAGCCATCTATCTATCCGTCCGTCCGTCTAACTTAAATTACATTAAACTGATTTGACTTTGAACGAATTGACTTGAATTGAGTTGAGTTGAATGCAACAGTCTTTTGCTAAAATGAGTAGTGTCATCTCTATAGAAGTATGAGCCCTGTCTTTTAGAGCTACTGAAAAAGTACCTTCAATTAAATGAAAGCTTGATTCAATCCACTAGGTACCTGAACGTTGATGAGCATACGTTGATGATATTGAAACCGAAACATTTAATTTTCTCCCCGGTGAACTGCACCTTTGAGAGCACTGCTCAGACTTGGCAGGGTGTTCTTATTGCCTGATCAGCTTGCTGTAATTGTTTTAGAAATAGCACCCGTTTGGGTATTTAAGAATGGATTATATGGATTAAATGGAAAACATGGTCATAAACTTTGATTAACAGTGAAAACGTCCATCTCGTTGCAATGCTTCAGCTGCTCAGTTTTGCTCATTCAGAGGGGGTTTAGCTTTCAAGATGATAACAAATGGACACTAGCCTACTGCTTTAGGCTGATGAAAACATGCACACAAGAATATTCAGCTAAATAACAGGGTAGAAGTGGATTAGATTGTGAGAAGTGGGCTATGATATCTCTTTTCAGAATAAAAAATAACAAGTACTATTATTATTTCAGAATATAATAATGGTATCTGATTTTATTGAGGAAAGCAGAGATGCAAACAAGAGTAATTGGAGATTTACATTTCCTTCAGAACATCATAAAGCAATCACAAGTACACAGTAATGTTTCTTTAATTGCAATCTAATATTAGCAGTGTAACACCGTGTCCTAACTACACGCGACGCGACGCCGCGATAAAAGGTATATTTTCCATGTTAATCAGAGTTTTTGTCCTAACCAGACGCGACGGCGACACGCGAAGTTTCTAATTAAGAAACGGTTCCTATTTCTGCGACGTCGCGGCTGACAGAATGAAGAAATTACACTGGTAATGAGTATACATTATTTATTTTTAGTTAAAAATAGGTCACTGTGCCACAAGCGATAATTTACCTCAGGTTTTGAAAGCATATAATATAGCGTTCAAAATGAATTCTTTACAAACTGTACTTCATAACAAAATTAGTCAATGAGTATATTTTGTTAATGTTTTGATTTTTAATAATGTTATTTCTTGATTTGATTATGTCCTTACCCATTTTCAAAACCGAGTGCGGGCCAACAGTGCGCTTTCACAGAGAGACTCTGCTCACACCATGCTAGGCTCACACGCTGTTCTGAATGTGTGGACAGACACACTTACTGTCGCTGGAATTTTATCGCGTCGCGTGTAGTTAGGACACGGTGTAATAAGGCTATACATTTAAACTTTAGACTCATACAGACAAGCAGTAGCTTTATTTTATGCACAAATCTTTTAACAGATAAACAAATGAAATGCATCATATGTACATAAATCAGAATAGTTTAAATGGTGGGTGTGATGGTGCTTAATAACATTATACTCAGTTTGAGAGCTTGAACAGCAGCTGGTGGTGTGAGATGAGGACAGGGCTTCCTGAAGAATGACTAGCTTTACATCATATGTTCTCTCCCTGATGTAACAGGAAGTTGGAACGAGGCAAAGTATCTAAGAACTCATCTTTTTTAGCCTTTAGGCTACATCTTTTAAAACCATGATTTTTGTTGCAATTGCAATATTTGATGGCTAGTTATATTATATAAAGGGGACATTCCCATTCTAGAGAGCATTTGATTGGACAAAAATGTAAATATGCCCCTGTGGACAACATGAATCAAAGTTTTTGTCTTTTACAAATGTAAGTTACATCAACTTGCTGCATATTACATACCATTCTAGACCTCAAAGCTAATAGACATGGACCACTTCAATCTCATATATGACAAAAGATTTGGCCTTCAGCTATCTGCCAGGAAAATCAATACAACACAAATCAAATATGTAACAGAAAAACTTCCAGCTGGTGATGTGTCACATATAAAAGCTATTCTAACCAATGTTTTGTTTCTATCTGTTTTAACAGTCTAAATAAAACCCAGAGTGACTCTAAACATGTGTCCACAAAGAGGGCTGCGATATAACGCTAGATGCAAGCGCATGCAGCTGCAGAGCAGTTCAAAAGGTGGAACATCGCTGCTCTTTTGTTCTTCTGCAGGCATCAAAGCAGCTCTGACACCTGGCCAACAAAGCAAGTGCCTCTACAATTTTGTGCTATAAAAAGCATGTAAAGCGAGCGCAAGCCAGCATCATGATCTTACACACAGATGTCCAACAACCACTGTGTGAGCAAACGTATGACTAGCACACACTTGAATGTAGATTTTGATAACACTGAACTTATTAAAGGGATAGTTCACTTTGAAATTAATTTTTGGTATGTTTTATCTTACCTCAAGGGCATTCAAGATGTAGGTGTCTTTGTTTCCGCAGTATTTTCAATTTTGATATTTTTAGGTCGAACTGTTCTTGTCTGTCAGTCATATAATGGAAGGTCTATGGTCACCACCTCAAAGTGCATGCACAGAGAAGTTCAAATTAAACATGATTTAATGACTCGTAAATGTAAGTACACATTGCAGAGCGGTTTGTGTGTGAAAACAAACTGTATTATTTATATCGTTTTTACGTCTTGTAACCACAGCCACAAAGCGCCCAGTGCCTTCAGATCACTGCACGTGGCTGTGGTTACAAAAGGTAAAAACGAAAATAAATTCTGTTCGTTTTCTCACACCAACCGCTCGTTTCGTGTCTTAGGCCATCAGTGTGTACTTACATTCACGAGTCATTAAATCATGTTTAATTTGGACTTCTCTGTGCATGCTCTTTGAGGTGGTGACCATAGACCTCCATTATATGACTGACAGACAAGAACGGTTTGACCTAAAAATATCAAAATTGAAAATACTGCGGAAACAAAGACACCTACATCTTGGATGCCCTTGAGGTAAGATAAAACATATCAAAAATTAAATTCAAAGTGAACTATCCCTTTAACTCTATATGAAAATGCTATTATCATTTCAATGCACAATCTTTACAAATATTACAGATACTACAATCAGACACCACAAAACGAAAGCTAGGTTTTAAAGCTATACAATCAAAAACTTTTAAATCTTAAAATAATAATAAAAATATACCTCTAATAAAATGTATTTAACATGGTCTTTTTTTAAACTCAACAACATGCATTTAACAGCTGCCTGCTTTATCTATCACTTCACTATTCTTTAATCCCTCCCTATTTTAGCTTGTACTATTCCAAATGATGGCTAAAACTTTATATTACTAGCACTTTTTGTGTTTATTGTCCTAATGGTTAGAGTCAGACTTGTAACTCAAAAGTTGCGGGTTCGATTCTCAATACGGAGTGAATGAACAGCGCTCTCTTCCACGCTCAATACCGCAACTGTGTGTCCACAGTTTAAGTGTGTGTGTGTGTGTGTTCACTACTCACTGCTCCTAACTTGAATGGGTTAAATGCAGAGTATGGGTTGCCATATTTAACCTTCATATCATGTCACTTTCACTTTAAGATGCATTGCTTCTGCATATTCATTCACTCAGTTGTAAGTCACTTTAGATAGAAGCGTCTGCTAAATGTGTAAATGTAAATATAACATTCTAATAATAAACTGGATTTAACAGAGGATTATAGTGATATAATTAGATGTAACTATGTTAGTAGTTTTCCTCTCTGTTTGTGCTATATTTATAATGACCCTCTGCATTCCAGACAAATCCATTACATTGTCGCCTCCGTAGTCCAGTATGTGAAACAACAGGTGCAAACCCTTCCATGTCGTCATGCTGGCTATCGAATCATCTACGAACAGCAGTAATGAAAGACAGATCGTTGCCAAGGGCATCAGCTGGTCAAGTTTTCCTAAACAAACCTGCTGGTCCTGGATTCCTATAGCAAATGGGTAAGTTGTTTGGTGCCTTGAGTAGTAAAACATGATGATGGATGTTTCCACACATAATCAAAAACCTGTAGCTCACATCATGACATTCCCTGGAACGTAATTCTCTGCCCTTCTCCTCACAGGATTGGTACTATAACCCCGAAAGTATTTCTTGCATTCCTTTCTAAGCTAGATTGTTACTAGAATAGAAGCTGGAGGACTCAGAGACTGTCTTTGAGGCACTTCGTGAAGAACCATTGGAAGTGAGATCTATGGATCTCCTTGTGTTCTCCTGAAGGTCTACCTCTCCATTCGGCATGACTGTGGATACTGTGGTCTCCATTCGGCTGGCACGGTAAATGCTGGCTTGCGTCTGAAGATAGCGTGTTGACTTGAGCTCCAGACCTTCATAGGAGCCTCGAGGGACACAAGGACACCAGAAGAACGCCTGTTGGAATCCAGCTCGAAACCTGCACGGATAGATGAGTATTGCGTGATTCGCTTCAAAACCTGAACCTGTTTTCCCCTGAACCAACTCTCACCTGTCATTGAGAAGACAGTAGATGATGGGATTGTACATGGTGGAGCTCATGGCAAGCCACATTATTCCTAAGTACACCTGCTGGATGAAGGGTTCCTCAAATAAGTGAGGAAGGAACTGGTGCAACTGGAAGTAGACATGGTAGGGCAGCCAACAGATGGCGAAGGTGCACACAACGACGATCATCATCTTCACCACCTGCGCAAGTTAAAATGGAAGGAGCTGAAATACGTTATAAACCTAGTCATGTTCCTGTTGAACAGACCAGCAAAGTTGGTCCCTAAGAATGGGATCTAGAGGCGGGTACACACTGTACGATTTAAAACTGTTGCCTGTCAGGTTCTCAATTGTCATTCATGTCAGACTGTTCTTTTACATCATCAATCCGTGACACGTTCTGTGACTTTAAACTGCATTACATGCAGTATTTAAATGGTGGCTAGCAAACAAAAACAGTTTCTAGCGTTAAAGGGATAGTTCACTTTGAAATTAATTTTTGCTATGTTTTAGCTTACCTCAAGTAAACTTACTGTTTCCGCAGTAGTTTCAATTTTGATATTTTTAGGTCAAACCGTTCTTGTCTGTCAGTCATATAATTGAGGTCTATGGTCACCACCTCAAATGCATGCACAGACAAGTCCAAATTAAACATGATTTAATGACTCGTAAATGCAAGTACACATTGATGGCCTAAGACACGAAACGGGCGGTTTGTGTGAGAAAACGAACAGCATTTATATCGTTTTTACCTCTTGTAACCACAGCCACGTCCAAGTGATCTGAAGGCGCGGGCTAAAAGATTGTAGGTAAGACGGCTAGTTAAAATGGTACTTTGTGCTTATCCGGGATGTTTAAATCGTCGTAAAAGAAAACAATTACGTATGCTTGCGAGAACTATTCTTCACTTACGAAGAGATCGCTTACGACCGAAGCGCCCGCGCCCTCAGATCACTTGTAGGTGGCTGTGGTTACAAGAGGTAAAAACGATATAAATACTGTTCGTTTTCTCACACAAACCGCTCGTTTCGTGTCTTAGGCCATCAATGTGTACTTACATTTACGAGTCATTAAATCATGTTTAATTTGGGCTTCTCTGTGCATGCTCTTTGAGGTGGTGACCATAGACCTCCATTATATGACTGACAGACAAGAACGGTTATCCTAGGAAAACTCGCACTGCAGAAATTTGGCGGAGGTAAAATTTGATTGCAACGGTCATTAATCAGCTGTCTGCAAACTAGCGAACAAAGACTTCAGATTTTGGCCTAGGAACAGAGGAATCTTTTTAGGATTCTCAACATTTGTCTCGGACGGACAAATTCGTACAGCGTGAACCCGGCCTAACTAGATATTCCCCAAGGGTTACTATCCATTGAAGCTGGTCTTTTCAGCCATGCAATTGACATTTAAGCTTTTGTGTCACTCTGCATGATGACCTTCCGTTTGGCGGTCAGCTGCTGTCGGTAGCGGTCTGAAGAGTCTCCAGGAATCTCACTAGCCCAGAGACTGCGTCCCACCACCAGGTAAGCACAACCCATGATGAGCAAAGGCAGAAAGTAAATAAGCACAACCACGCAGACATAATACCTGTGAGAGAGAAAGAGACAGAAGACAGCCAGATGGGGAATTAGAATGGGAGAGGCAGCCAACGAACAAGAACAAGACATGAAACCCAAGATGAAAATAGACTCAAAGTTGTTGCGATATATTTTTAAGGGCTGCATTTTTTACACAAATGGATGCCACACACCAACAACTCAGAGTCCCACATGTTTTCTCACATTAGCTCCCACTTAAAAATAACCGCTGGCAAACTTTTTGAATCATGAACTGTGAATGCTCTCAGGATTCAGTCGCTTGCGGCGCTGCCTCTCTTTTGGAGCGCTGTACAATTCAACGTGGTAATTAGGCTTATCTAGAAAGACACTTGTCTCACAGGAGAGGCGGAAAATATACACAGGCCTTTCAAGCATTAACCAAAACATTTCCTGTCCTGTAACTTAAAGGGATAGTTCACTTTGAAATTAATTTTTGGTATGTTTTAGCTTACCTCAAGGGCATCCAAGATGTAGGTGTCTTTGTTTCCACAGTAGTTTCAATTTTGATATTTTTAGATCAAACCGTTCTTGTCTGTCAGTCATATAATGGAGGTCTATGGTCACCACCTCAAAGAGCATGCACAGTGAAGTCCAAATTAAACATGATTTAATGACTAGTAAATGTAAGTACACATTGATGACCTAAGACACGAAACGAGCAGTTTTTGTGAGAAAACGAACAGTATTTATATCGTTTTTACCTCGTGTAATAACAGTCACGTCCAAGTGATCTGAATCAGTTGTGCAATGTCCAACTGAACCGAACTGAATCAGTTTAATGTTACGCCGGAAGTGATCGCTTGCGTGTGACGTCACTCAATATTTACACCGAGATTTCGGAAGTTTTATTTTATTTAGATATACCGAAATCCTCTTCCATTGCGGGTTCCCGTATATCTAAATATGTTCAGTGAAAGGTAAAACTTCCGAAATCTCTGTATAAACAAAGAGTGTCGTAGGCGCGCAAGCGATCACTTCCAGCGCATGCGCAGACCGAAGCGCCCGTGCCGTCAGATCATTTTGTCATGGCTATGATGATTACAAGAGGTAAAACGATATAAATACTTTTCGTTTTCAATGTGTACTTACATTTACGAGTCATTAAATCATGTTTAATTTGGACTTCTCTGTGCATGCTCTTTGAGGTGGTGACCATAGACCTCCATTATGTGACTGACAGACAAGAACGGTTTGACTGAAAAATGTCAAAATTGAAAATACTGCGGAAACAAAGACACATCTTGGATCCCCTTGAGGTAAGATAAAACATATCAAAAATTAATTTCAAAGTGAACTATCCCTTTAAGAAGACAGTCCAAAAAAAAGCAATGTGAATGCCTTCTTCTCTCTTGTTGTTCTGATTGAACGCGTCTTACAGACATGCTACTTAGAAAGAGCCAAATAAGTTGAGGGGTTTCAAGTTTCCATAACTATCTCAGTGGTGAGAGGTAATTAAATATTTTCCACTTGGTTAATTTCAAAAATGCTTGTAATGTGGTAGGAAATCGTAACAACAAGACGGGTGATTGCACATAAACAAAAATTAGGCTGTGCACGATCCAAAATCCTGCAGATTCCGATGGATCTGTGAGTGCATAAAGAAAACATTAGTAACTTTGAATCTCCCCTTTCTGTCCCTCTCTCGCAATCCATCATCCTCTCTCTCTCTCTCTCACACACACAAAGGTCTACCAACCAGTTAAAAAGAATCCATTGATCAGTGCTCCTTATCTGGTACATCTTGCTATCTTGTGATACGCAGAATTGGTCTCTCAGAGACTATCTATACCTTTAAAGAATGTTCGGGCAGACAAAAGCTTGAGATACTACCTCAAGAATTGATTCCTGCAAAGTAGGATTGGTGAAGTCTGACAGGTTATGTCACTTAAAAGAGGTAGAGGCGTTCACTGCTTTGGCGTGACAGGGAGAAGCCTGCTGGAAGATTGACTGTACGGGTGGGTGAACGATTAAGCTGTTACGGAAATAAGAGCATGCCGTCGACACCTGACACCTACAGAGCCATTGCAGGAAACCGGCAGGGTCTGGAGTTGGTAGCAATTAGAGTGAGCGGATGTGAAGATCTATCAAAACTCGTTCAGTAGCTGATAAATATGTATTAAGATGCAGGACAGAGCGTATTGCTACTTGGCCACAGTTTAAATATTCATGTCGTAAATCAGACCAAGCCACACACTTTGTACCGGTTCGACCGAATACTGCTGAGAGTGCACCCTATGGTGTTCATAATGTTGTTTTCATTCTGCGTTGGCAGATTTCTCATTGCTATGTTTTAGGGTTTTGCTAAAATAAGCAGTGCTGTCTTGAAAGCTTGTTGCCTTTGCTTAAAGGAGTAGTTCACTTTTGAAAAAACTTTTGCTGATAATTTACTCACCCCCATGTCATCCAAGATGTCCATGTCATTCTTTCTTCAGTCGAAAAGAAATTAAGGTTTTTGATGAAAACATTCCAGATTTTTTCTCCATATAATGCACCTCAGTGGGGTCCAAACGGTCCAAGGTCCAAACGAGAGTTTCAGTGCAAACTGCAAACTGCTCAAAGGGCTTTAAACAATTCCAGACAGTGAATAAGGGTCTTATCATCGCTCACGATCGCTCATTTAATAAATAAATAAAGTTTAAGTTTTATAAGCTCAAATGTTCGCCTTGCTCTGGTCTGTGAGTGTGACGCACATTTATGACTCGAACTCGAACTCTTTTTCTGAGTCATTTGGTTCATTCAACGAACGAATTGACTTGGGAAAAGATTCGTTTGTTTTGATGAACGAGTTCGAACAGGAGAGTCACGAACGTGCATCACAGAACGGAGCAAGGCGAGCATTTGTGCTTATAAAACTTAAACTTTGTTATTTTGTTTTTAAATGAGCGATCGTTTTTCTTGATAAGACCCTTATTCATCATCTGGAATCGTTTAAAGCCCTTTGAAGCTGCACTGAAACTGTCTTTTGGACCTTGGACCGTTTGGTTCCCATTGAAGTCCATTATATGGAGAAAAATCCTGGAATGTTTTCATCAAAAACCTTAATTTCTTTTCGACTGAAGAAAGAAAGACATGGACATCTTGGATGACATGGGGGTGAGTAAATTATCAGCAAAAGTTTTTTTTTTCAAAAGTGAACTACTCCTTTAAGGATGCGAACGTGAGTTGCATTTTTGGGCGAGATTTGAATTGTCTTTGTCTTTTTCATATTATTATTGCAATAGCAGGTGTTTTGAAGTGTGAGTTTGACTGTAGTTTCCAGACGTTTGTGTGGATTTTGACATTTTTGACATGGATTTTAACAAGTTTATCTTACGTCTTTTGAAAATCCCACACGCTGTACTCTGGCCAGTTGATGTAGCACACGACACGTCCTGGCAGCTGAGCGATGCTGGAAAAATAGTACTGGGGGAAAGCCAGGAGCAGCGCCAGGGCCCAGATCACCCCCACCACCAACTTAGTCTCAGCGGACGACAGGCGTTGCTGGAGTGGGTGGATGATAGCCATGTACCTGCAGGGAGGGGGGTAACAAAGGCAATGACCTGCTATTTATGTAAACTCAAAGGAGAATCAGCCACTCGAATTAACCCTAAATTATTTGCCTGGTCCTACTGATTTGGATAGTGGGAGAGATGACTAGTGGAGTTTGTCTTTTTAGTAGGGGTGTAAGGATAACCTCAAGTCACGATTCGATACATATCACTATACTGAACTCGTGATACGATATTATTGCGATACTACAAGACATGATAAAAGATAAAGAAAAAACGTACTATTGATTAAAATGCTATATTTGGTATTACATTGTGGGTGGTAATGAATAGGCTTGGACTTAGGACAATAGTGACACCGGAATAAACACATTCATGATTCTGAAGCTGAAAATACAGCTTAAAATAACAAATTATTGTAGATGAATATGCTTACACACGTTCACTGACTAGATATATTTGAAATAATGTAGGCCACTTTTTACTGGCAACATCAGACATTTGGCATCATCAGGACGACCCACAAATATTCCCCCATTGCATTCATACATTATATTCAACATTATATAGTAATTTAAAGGGATAGTTCACCCAAAAATGAAAATTCTGTCAGTATTTACTCACCCTCATGTTGTTCCAACCGCGTAAGACCTTCGTTCATCTTCAGAACACGAATTAAGATATTTTTGATGAAATCTGAGAGCTGGATCACTCCATACTAGTCCATAGGCTTCTTGAGGGATTGAAATTTGCCGGCCTCGAAAGGTTATTAAAGACATCGTTAAAATAATCAAAGTGACTCAATCTTAACTTCATCAAGCGACGAGAACACTTTTTGTGTGCAAAAAAACAATAAAGTCGTTATTTTTGCGCACAAAAAGTGTTCTCGCTGCTTGATAAAGTTAAGATTGAGCCACTGTAGTCAGTTGGACTATTTTAACGATGTCTTTAATAACTTTTCGAGGCCGGCAAGTTTCAATCCCTCAAGAAGCCTGTGGACTAGTATGCAGGAGTGATCCAGCTCTCAGATTTCATCAAAAAATATCTTAATTTATATTTCGAAGAAGAACGAAGGTCTTACGGGGTTGGAACAACATGAGGGTGAGTAAATACTGACAGAATTGTCATTTTTGGGTGAATTAACCCTTTAATGAAGTACTGACACTAAAACTCTGTGAACTTGATTTTTTTCTCACACAGTAATTTAAATTTTGGTTATACTATCCACGATACATATTGTTGCATTTTTGTATTGCGATATATTGTGACACCACTGAATTTTAGTGGGTTGGGTCTTTCACCACAGCAATTGTAGAAAGGATGCAGCTTCGTTCTATGATCTTTGCTTTCTACACAGGTTTGAATTTTCAGGTTTCAATTTCATCCTCCCAAAAAACAGCACAGCTGTGGTACAGTTATGGTTACAATGCTATTTCTATTTTAAAATGTTTAAAAAATTTAAGGAATTTAATGAATGTAATGAAGGAAGTCTCCAGTCTTCAGTGTCACATGATCCTTTAGAGTTTTTGCTGCTAAACATTTTGGGAACAATGATGCAAACATTTTGTGGTAAGATTAAAACAAGAGAAATTCATTTTTTTATTCATCAAGGAAGCATTAAATTTATCAAAAGTGACTGAAGAAATTTGTAAAAATCTATTTCTATTTAATAAATGCTTTAATATGTATGCAAATAAATTGCATTTTTGATCTTTTAATCAAAGAATCCTAAAAAAAATATAATATGTTAATAATAAAAAATGTTTCTTTTAGAGCAAATCAGCATATTAGATCATGTAACACTTAAGACTGGAGTAATAGGAATGGGAATCACAGGAATAAATGACAGTTTACAATATAGTCAAATAAAAAACAGTGATTTTAACTTGTAATCAAATTCAACAAAATTAATGTTTGTACTGTATTTTTGATTAAATAAATGCAGCCTTGGTGAGCATAAGAGACTTCTTTTAAAAAAACATTACAAAATTGTAATGTTTCCAAACTTTTTACACATACTCTTGTTTAGCCACATTTAATTTAATTTTGATTCATCTGCCATTTCAAAAAACGATTTACTTCTCCTTTCAGGCTTAAAACCTTCTCTAAAGAAAAGACATGGAGCAAAGATAAAGGAGAACATGTCTTAGAGACAGTTAATCCTTACAAAATAGTTCTGTGTCATATTCAATTCGCATTTATGTGTATAGCCATTTTCACAATACACATAGTTTCAAAGCAGCTTTACGATAAAGTGGTCTGTCATCAGAGGTGACTGTCCAATATGTATGTATTATGGAAATTCATGTGGTATTTATATTGGCTTGGTTATTTCAAGTATAGGTTATACAACAAAAAACAAACATGGGTAACAGTTTATAGTGTCCTTGTTACACATGTTGCATGTATTTACTACATTAATAACTATAAATTATGCATAAATACAAACCCTAACCTGTAAATGTATAATTACACTGTAACAGGGACGCATTACAATAAAGCGTAACCAAAACATGTAACCATTTGTAAGTATAGGCAACATAAATAGCTCACCTGTCCAGGGCTATTGCCGTCATTGAGTAAATACTTGCGAACACAGCTGCTATTGGAAAGAAGTTGTGAAATCTGCAGTAAACAAGTCCAAAATACCATTCGTTGTGCACTGCGTACACAAAGTTAATAACGGTGTTGAAAGCCGACATAGACGCCTCTGCGAACGCGAGATTCACCAGAAAATAGTTGGTAACTGTTCTCATGCGCTGATGCGCTAAAATGATCCAGATAACGGTGATATTTCCAACAACTGACACCAGAACTATACAGCAATATGCGATGGCCCACAAAACTATCTGCCAAACTGGCTGAACGAACTGGTTCAAGAACACGTCTGTGTCATTGACCAATGAACCGTTGGTTCCGTTTGCGCTTGAGTTTTGCGAAGTGATGTAGAGAGGATCCATGATCCATAAATCATCAGAGAAAAAGCATTTCAGCAAAGAAAAGTTTAGGTTTTGTTGTTTTAAAATGGGATTAGAAATCCAAATGAAATTTCAGTGTTATTTTCCCAGCCTCTTCGGTTCGGTATATGCTGCAGGTTGAATCGCCAGCGCGTACTCTCCGCGCCTCTCCAAACATGACCGCGCAGTCTAGAAACAGTGTTGAGAGCGCGCGCTGCATCTTTCCAGTCACGCGCCAGTGAACACGCGCATCCTCCTTACTGACAAATGTCACTGTTTGACAACAAAAAGTAGACTAATAATAATATCAGTTTAAATTCGAACTTAGGTAAAACAAAAACAAAAAACTCGTATGTCAAAATAAGAACAGTCATTCTTTCTGCGCAGGATATTTTCATGTCCTCTTCATATCTAAATGTATGGATAAAATAAATTCACATTTTAAAATATGGAAATCATATTAGTTTATCGATTAAGTCAACATGGGATGAATTTTATGTGAATTGTAATCTTAAAAAATCAAATATAGCCTATTAAGTGCATATCTGAAAGGGCAAGCCTTGTGGATTTGTTGTCCGAAGAGGGACAAACACCATAGGCCTATCTGGCGTTAAGGCTCATTGATGCACAAAGGCAATCCCGTCTGGTTCGAACTGATAGAAGGTCTACTGTGGCACAAGTCACACAATTTTTAGTTGTCCAATGAGTCCACACGAAAGATTTTGTGTTTGTTATTTTATTACACTGTTGACTAAAAGGCTGGGCAACATAAAGAAAATAGCGGAATTAATAGAACAATAATAGAACAATCAATATAAAATTACAGAATATTGTGAATATCGAATATTGTTGAAAATGAAGATTAATGTGCCAAAACATCACCAATATGCAATTTCACTCCTGCTGAAAAACTAGCCAAGAAGTACTTACGTATGTGTTCCATCAACTAGTTCCCCATCTGAATGAGTTTTTGTGCCATGTGAAAATATAGAGCATCTCTTATACCATTGATAGGCTTAACTTGTGAAATACTTGCATAATTTACTACCATTTACCTTTTTAATGTTATAGTCCTAGAATTAAAACATGCAAACTGCTATGATAGCCTATTCTTATTTAACAAAAGCCAAAAACAATGCCATTTTTGTTCTAAATTTAGCCCTGCTATGATATCAACTGATGGCTAAATCAAGTATTCTTTTTAAGAAAAATGTTAGTTTTTCCATCCTGAAAGTGCCGTTTTCAGAATCTGTTAACGTTTAGCCTTTGGCCAACAGCAAGGTCACTGCGTGCATAAATCAAGATGTTCACAGGTGGACAATATGGGGACTGGATCAATGCACAATCCTTGAGCTGCTGCAGGATCTGCGATTAGGTGAGCTGGGCGGAGGGGTTTCATCGACAAACAATTTTTCACTGCAAAAGATCTTAATGCCTGAAATTATTTTGTTGAGATTAGGTCATAAATCAAAATCAGAAAAATTGTGTCGAAAAAAAAAGAATGCGTCTGCAATGAAGGCGCAGACGCAGAGGAATCCAATTGCAGCTTTATTGAGAATGGTCAACAGGCAAGGTAGATCAACAGCAGACAGGATCAATGGAGGGAGCAAAGAGCAAGACGAGGTCACGGGCAAAAGGTCAGGGAAGGCAGCAAAAGGCAAAGACCAATCCGGGTCAAGACAGGCAGAGAATGATCAGAGGTCGAGGTACAGTCCTAGGTACGATATCAGATCAGAAGACAGAGTCAAACACTTGGAATTGTAAGCTGGGGCAATACAATACTTTGCAAAGAAGTGGCTTTTATGTGTGTGTAAAGGAAGTGCAGGTGTGTGTGCAATCAGTGCAGGTGTATCATGTTTGGTGTAATCAGTCCAGGGAGGTGTTTGATGGGAAATGTAGTCCAAGTAAACCTAGGAAGTGTGTGGCTAATCAAGAGTTCAGGGGGGTGGTGAAGAGGAGGTGGTCTTGGGGGAGGGAAGAAGGGCCAGGTCCATGCAGGGGAACAGGGACCAGGGCATGCAATTGTCCCATTGTGGAGCTTGGGTGTACCTTGGTCGTGGAGCATGGGTGGAGCCGGCTGTGCAGGCAACCAGAATGGGCCGACTGATTCAAGCTGATAGAAGAGCAACTTTGACTGAAATAACCACTCGTTACAACCGAGGTATGCAGCAAAGCATTTGTGAAGCCACAACACGCACAACCTTGAGGCGGATAGGGCTACAACAGCAGAAGACCCCACCGGGTACCACTCATCTCCACTACAAATAGGAAAAGAGGCTACAATTTGCAAGAGCTCACCAAAATTGGACAGTTGA